AGTCATTTGAGAAACTCAGGAATGAAAAGACAGAGATAGGATGGTGGCTCAAGGTGGGAGCAGAACGGCTCTACCCCCAGATAAATGACCACTGATCAGTGTTTACTCACACTTGCTTGTTTGTCTATACTTTAAGAAGCAGAAGGCAATATTGGTTGGAGGAGGCCAGAGGAGGGACTTTGAAACAAAATAGATTGAAAGCCAGGCTGCAGGCATTCTAAAGTTAGAGAACATGTTATCTGTATGTGTACAGCAGCAAATGTTTTAGCAGAGACAACTCATCTATCGTGCATCAACAGGCTGTGAGATGAGAAACTCTCCTTCCCTTCTTAGGTTAAAAAAGTTTGATCCGCTCTTAGAAGAGAATTCAAAAGCTTCGATAAAGTATTTTATCAAGCAAGGTCTAGACCTCAATACTCAATACCAGACAGATCAGGAGGCAGGAAAGCAACTCTCTCCCTCAATACCTAGTTTGGTCTAGTAGGAAAAAGGCAACACTTGGAGGCTGAAGGCCCGGGTTCCAGGCTCAGACTCCCAGTCTAGCTCTGTGACTTTACATGGAACACCAGTTTCTTGATCTGAGGATAATGATAGCCACTTCATAAACCTGCTGCAAGAATCCAATGAAATACCTGTTAAAGCAGGGCCCTGTGCTGGGTTTAATGCTCTGCTGTATCCGTCTTGAAATTCTTGATTTGTAAACAAGGAAGCCTCCCATGTTTTCATTTTACATGGGCCCTGCCAGTTACGTAGCCAATCTTGCCTGTATGCCCTTGGCCCAGTCGCTTAACCTCTCTGGTCTCCACTGTCTATAATTCATTTAATTGAATTGTTAGAAAAAAACTGTTAGGAAACCCTGGTGGCATAGTGGTTAAGTGCTATGGCTACTAACCAAAAGGTCAGCAGTTCAGATCCACCAGGCACTCCTTGGAAACTCTATGGGGCAGTTCTACTCTGTCCTATAGGGTTGCTATGAGTTGGAATCGACTCAACGGCAACGGGTTTGGTTTTTTTTGTTTTTCTTCTACTTCACCTATTAGCAAAATTTGACATCTATTAATACATCCAGAGCTAACTCCTGATCTTCTCTTCCAAGGCTGCTCGCCTATTCTTCCTCATCTGTTAATAGTAACTCCATCCTTCCAGTTTCTCAGACTAAAACCTGTGTCATCATCTTTGATTCCTCTCCTTATCTCTCTCCCCATATCCAATTTGTCAGCTAATCTAAAATCTGACTGTTTCTTCACCACTTTTCATCACTGTCCGAGCTTTAATCATCTCCTGCCTGGATTACTGCAATACCTTTCTAACTGGACTTCCTGCTCCCACCTCCTCACGTGTCTTCACTGGTTTCTTCTCCACACAGTAGCCAGAATAATCCTTTTAAAATATAAGTCATATTATATCACTCCTCTGTTCAAAACCATCCCATGACTACCCATCTCATTCAGAGTAGAAACCCCTACCAGGGTCAACAAGCTACCCGTTAACCTGACCTCCTACCACTCTCTTCCCTCAGAATCATTGCTGGTGCCTTTAGGCCTGGAATCCCACCCCCTACCCCCCCATCCCCCACCCAACCAGTTATCAGCATGGTTGGCCCCTCACCTCCTTCAGTTTTGCTTAACCACCCTATTTAAAATAGCAACCACCATCAACCTTTCCCCTCCCACCCCAACCTATCATTCCCTGCTTAATTTTCTCCTAAGCACTTATCACCATTTGATATATTACATATTTTATTCATTTGTTTATTGTTTATCTCTTACCATCAGAATATACACTTAAAAGGGCAGGGACTTTTGTCTTTTAACTGCTGTGTCTCCAGCACATAGGACACTGGGCATTGAGTGATGACAGTAGAAAGAGGTCTGGAGCAGATGATGGTGGTGTTATTATTAAGTCATGGCAGCATCAACCCCACAGACTTCCCAAAGTACTTTCATAGCTCAGTGCCCATGAAGCCAGCTCTGCATACGGGTAGTGAGGGCATTTACGGAGACTAACTGCTCTGTCCCCAGTCTTCCTCTAGATCATACTGTGGATATAGAAAGATGAACCAGAAGTGGTAACTGCCCTTGAAGAACTAGTGGCCTAGAGGGAGTTTTCATGTATATGTGCAAATAAGCCTAGAACAAGGCAACATTTGTTAAAATACCCACCCTTCAATGCCTTAACACTTCACGGTCTGGTGATAACTCTAGAGTTTAGTAGACTGGAAACCCTGGTGGCGTAGTGGGTAAGTGCTGCAGCTGCTAACCAAAAGGTCAGCAGTTTGAACCCACCAGCCATTCCTTGGAAACTCTATGGGACAGTTCTACTCTGTCCTGTAGGGTCACTATGAGTCGGAATTGACTTGACGGCAACTGCTTTGGTTTTTTTTTCTAGTAGACTATGGCTTGTAAACTTAATTCTGGGCTATTTCTGTCCCAGACAATTTCCCGCTCTGGCCTGCTTATCACACCAGAGACACCTTGCCTGACTTCCAATCTAGTCGGTCCCTCTACTGGCCTCCTCCACCCAACATTGCCCTTTAATTACTGTTAACTGGACACCCCACCCTCTTATAATCCCTCCATACTCTGCTTCTAGATACAGGGAACATGGAGGCAGTGGTGGAATCAATTTAGGGAGGTTGTAGCAGGGTGTAAATAATCTAAATATTGTTGCCTTACAATAAAGCTTTGTGTATCTCTCTCTTCTATGAGCTTACAGGGCACAGAGCTCTGGGGCTGCATCTACCCCTCTCTGTAGCCTGGCGGGCTTGCTCAGGATGTGGCACTGAGTGGGCGCTCAGGAAGGTTTGCTGAATTGGTGAACTGGATGTTGTGGGCTCTGAGTCAGAATAATCCTATTTAAGAAGTACTTACCCTCTGTTAGGTGCCCCAGAGGGATTCTATAAGGTTATTTTATTGAATTATAAAGAAACAAACAACCTTACTAGTAAGAATGAAAACAAATAAAGGGACCAACTTTTGAAATGGCAATTTAAATTAAAAAACACTATTTTATAATTTTCAAAGTTACTTTAATCAGTATTTGATGTCTTTACTGAACTCCATACCTGAAAATCCAAAATTATCAAGCAATGAATTACAAAGGAAACCTTCCATTCCCTACAGGACTACTTTGAATAGGGGCCCCCCAAGGTTATCTGGATTTTAGATAGAAATTTACTTAAGAGAAAGACTAGGGGACTGAGAAACTTAAAGCTAAAGCATTAGGACCTGGTTATTAAAAACCAAGTTAAATGTAGGTGGTTGGTACTTGGGTGTTTGTTACATAATTCTCATTACTTTTCGGTATGTTTGAAGAACTTGTTTCTCTCATACATTCACAGCACATGTACATTTTCATAGCCTGGCAAGTTCAATTATAAAAAGATGACCCATCTCATAATTAGTAAGAGGTGTTACCAGCAATAAGTATGAAAATATTGGGTGAGTAAGCCCTCCTCCTCCTTGGTTCCCATTTTCTCCATATATAAAACAGAGGGAGGGACTAGATGGTTTACGGCCCTTCCAGTTTTCAAGTCTTATAAAAGCAGAGGAATCCTAGTTACATTGTAAAGGCCTTCTCTTTATAAAAGGAGCCCTGGTGGCGCAATGGTTAAAGCACTCAGCTGCTAACCGAAAGGTTGGCTGTTCCAACTCGCCAGCCTCTCTGCAGGAGAAATATGTGGCAGTCTGCTTCTGTAAAGATTTACAACCTTGGAAACCCTATGGTGCAGTACTATTCTGTCCTATAGGGTCACTATCAGTCGGAATTGACTCAGTGGCAGTGGGTTTGGTATTTTGGTTTTTCTCTTCATAAAGGATTCCCTTCAGATTTTCTGAGTTTCTTTACTGCATTTAAAATGTGATTTGGTTTACCAAAATCTGGTTTCCAAACAACTTTTCAGAACAGATGGTGTATACAGAATACTCACTATATTTTTGTTATTTATACAAGCAACTAACATTTATTAAGCAAATACAATATGCCAGGCACTATATATTCAATGGAGCCCTGGTGGCACAGTGGTTGAGAACTCGGCTGCTAACTAAAACACTGGCAGTTTGAATCCATCAGCCGCTCCTTGGAAACCCTGTGGGGCAGTTCTACTCTGTCTTATAGGGTTGCTATGAGTTGGAATAGACCGGACTGCAAGGGGTTTGGGTTTTCTTTTTTTGTATATATTCAATATCCCAGGCACATATAAAATGCCGTATATGGATGATCTGAATTAATCATCCCAATAGCCCCAAGAAGTAGACACCAACATTGTTCTTGAGGCTATCTAACATGCCCAAGGCCATAGACTTAGGGAATAGAAACACTGGAATTCTAACTGTCTTCAATTCAGCCTCTGTGTTAACCCTGCATCTCCCAGACTGGCTGCTCATATCAGGAGGGGCTCAGTGTTCCTTCCTTAGTAGAACCAGGGCCCTCTGCGCCTCTTTTCCTTCACAAACAGGGCGACCCATCGGAAGATGATGTGGTTCCTTTTGATTTCAACTTAATTTCATGACATAACATGGCAATGTTTTCATTGAGAAATGCTTTTGACCTTCCCCTAGATGAGTAACAGTGGATGTCTCTAGTTATCTTAGGTTTCTTGTGAATGATCAGGTGAGCAGAAAAGGGTTTAAATTTGCTTTGAATTCCTAGTTTGGTTCTTCTCTTTATGTTTCATTTATTGAAGTCTAACAGCATACACAGCAAGACATTATTTTGCAACAGACTAAGGTGAAAAAAAAAGCCATGTGCAGGGAAATAATATCTGAGAATTTCTCATCTGTATCGCACACTTCAGAATTTTCACATCCATTATTTTCACTTTCACAAGAACCGTATGAAGTAGGCAAGACAGGAATTATTTACCCACTTTGCAAAGGAGGAAACAGAGTCAGAAAGGGGTCACCACTTGCCCCGGACCATGAGCTGGTGAGAGCCTGGACCCAGTGCGCTTTCCACACCATGCCGCCCCCCATGTAAACAAGGACATCAGATCCCCGCGCTTCGTAGCAGATAGAACCAAATGACTGCTGTCATGAGGACTGTTCCACACCAGGCTGTGGCCAGAGTGGCTGCCTGTAACAGCAACCTATTCTTAGAGGATGAGGATCTAGCATCAGCCATTTTCCCCCTTCTCACACCTGTGCAGGGTGATAAAGAAAGCAGAATTAGCCTGCAGCTGTGGTCCAACCAGATAAAACATTTAGGCGGGAAGTCAAGTGACAAGTGAAATTGTGTGTGTTTGTGTTTAAGTGTTAGTTACTTTTGATATTTTAAAAAAGCTCCTAGGCTGCCTGTGGAAGTCAGACTAAATAGCAGGAAGGTACTGCAGCAAGATGGACTTAGGAAAGGACCAGACTCATGTGAAGCTCCATCAGACACCTGCTTCTCATCAACAAGAGAACCATGCTCCAGGTAATGAAAAAGACCTTGAGAGGCGGTGGCTCTTGGGAAGAATAGGGGTTACGATTACTTGCCTATGCTTTATGGATCTGGCAAAAAAAAGGCATAACTGAGTACGTTCATATAACTTTAGGTGGGAAGAACTGAGGCTGTATAACTTCCTGAGGGGTCTTCTAGTGCTAAAATTCTCATCAGCCAGAGAAATACAAGGTAGTAATAAATAAAGTACTAATAAGACATGTATTAAAACAAAAGATAATGAAAATGTCCAATGCTGGATGGTTGCGGTAAAACGAATACACCCATACGCTCCTACGGCACCATGAATTTGGTATAGCTTTTGGAAAGAGATGTGGCAATGAGTGGCAAGAACTATAATAGTGTTTATTCTTTTGACTCACGAGTCCTACTCCTTAGGTCTGTCCTAAAGCAGCATTTCTCAAAATGTTTTGCAGAATACTAGGCCTTGAGATACACTAAGAGAGGGTTTTTAAATTTTATTGTGCCATGCTTATGAAGCCTATAGACCCCGTCTTAGAATAAAAAATTTAAATACATGAAATTAAATACATAAGATTGCAAAGGGAATGGAGTATATTAAAACACAGTTATCAAAATAAAAAAAAAACGTGATACAGTAATACATGTGTTTATAGATGCAGTAAACAACAAGATCCAGTGCTGGGTCTAATAACCATAGTATTGATGTGCATAAATGATATTTTGAGGTATCTGTAGCAACTGTAATGTGACATGAAAATCAAGTCTGTCATTTCTTTTGGTGACAAAGTCACAGCTACTGCTAAAACTACCCTGGTTTGTTACCTACGTTCATAATTGAAGGAAATGGTAATTTTAATTAGAGACTGGTAAAAATAGAGGTGTAATTTTTTCCTATCCAAGTTCACCATTAAGAACCCCTGTTGTAAGAATAGAAGCCCCTGGGTGAAGCAAACGGTTAATGTACTTAGCTGTTCACTGAGAGGTTCGAGGTTTGTGTCCACTCAGAGACGCCTCGGAAGAAAGGCCTGGTGATCCACTTCTGAAAAATCAGCCATTGAAAACCCTAAGGAGCACGGTTCTCCTCTGACACACATGGGGTCGCTGTGAGTCAGAGTGAACTCAATGGCAACTGGTAGTGGTAGTGGTGTCCTAAGGACAAAGGGTACCATGGTCGTGCTGCATGCTCAGTCCTCTTCTGGGGGTCACAGTACAGGTTCACGGAGTAAAGGCTCAAGAAATTCTATATCAAAGACCCAGTAACTTTCCTCAAACTTGCATAGCAACAGAACCTTTTTTGATAATAACTTTAATATTTCAAAGAACTTGGAAAAACACAATCCTAAAGAAATAATCCAAAAGAAAGAAAAAGCTGTATGCATGAATATGCTTACTATAGTTTGCTCTACAATAGCAAAAAATAACTGGTAACAACCTAAATGCCCAATACAAGTTAAACGATTAGGTTAGTGATAATACATCAACTTGATTAAGTATCATGTAGTCATTAAAATTATACTTATAAAGACTATACTATGGAAACTATTTGATGTGATGTTAGGTTAAAAAGATACAAAATTGTAGTAGGCTATAGTACAACTCTTAAAATTGTATAATACAGGGATTGGATGGAAATGAATAAAATGAAAGCAGGTTACCATGTTAAGGATGGCAGAGCAAAGAGTGATCTTTTTTCTTTTATTTATACGATACGTAAAAGTCATTTTGAAGAAATAGGTTGATAACACACTCATGTACAAATACTGTCTGAAAAGTTGTCCTCAAAAAGCTGGAGGAGAAAAATCTTAGACACCAAGTGTAGAGATTTTATCACCTTTCTATAGATCTCTTTTACTGATAAATGCCGTAATTTATCACTTTTTCCTATAACTTTCATTTTGGTCCTGCAGAACTCATTGGAACTTGGTGTTTGCGAAACCGGGAGCAACTCAGAAAAAGAAAAGTTGAAGCAGAAGAAAAACAAACTTCACAGTGGCTATTTGGGTATGGTGTCATTGCAAGGGAAGGAACTAATATTTATTGATATATGTTACATGTCAAGTAGTGATGAGCACTTTTACAGACTATATTTTACGTTTCCAACAATCCTGTAAGTCAGGCATTGTAATCTCTATCTTAAGGAGCTCTGGTGGCACAGTTGTTAAGCACTTGGCTGCTAATCAAAAGGTTGAGGATTCGAACCCACCAGCTGCTCCACAGGAGAAAGATGGGGCAGTCTGCTTCCATAAAGATTTACAGCCTTGGAGACCCTATGGGGCAGTTCTACTCTGTTTCTATAGGGTCACTATGAGTTGGTACCAACTCAACGGCAATGGGTTTGGTTTTTTGGAATCCCTGTTTTACTAAAAAGGAAAACTAAGTCTTCCGATGGGTTAAATCTCTTTCCTAAGATCACATAGCTTGTAAAATGGTGGTAACAGAATTTTATCCCTGGTCTCTTTTAATTAAAGCACCAGGCAATTGAATTGTATTGTTGAGAGAGCTGGGGTTTGGCTACTCTGGTCGTACAAACATGTAAGCATCGTGTTGTTGGGAGTGGGGGACATCACTGAGGAACACTCCACAAGAGTGTTCTCGAAACTTCCTGTTAGTCAAATCTTTATTGTATGGGTGTGATTAACTCTCCATGGAGTAAGCCAAACATGGTCTGTAGATGAGTGACAGAAGAGTTTGAGGAGTCCTAAATCTCCAATCAAAGTCACCTCTACATAATCTTAGGGAGGGAATACCGAATACAAGTGAGGCAGCATTTAATTACATCCATTTAGAGTATGACTGTGAAAACAATGGCTTGTTTGAAGATAGAAAAGGGAGCCCAAAGAGTCCCAAGTGCAACATCCATCTAAGTCAGGGTTTCTCAACCTCTATACTGTGGTCAGTGTAATTCTTTGTTGTGGGGGGCTGTCCTGTGCATTGTCGTTTAGCAACGTCTCTGGCCTCTACCCTCTAGATGCCAGTAGCACCACGCCCTCCAGTAGTGACAATTAAAAACGTGTCCAGACATTGCCAAATGCCCCCTAGTGGGCAAAATCACCCCCAATTGAGAACCACTGATCTAAGCACTCTTCTCAAGAGAGGACTCCCCTCCTCATGGCTTGAGTACTATCTATAATGCTGTAACACAATGATCTGCTATGAAACATGTTTCTACAACATCAGTTAGCTCACGTAAACCCATTGCCGTTGAGTTGATACCAAATCATAGCGACCCGGTAGAAAGAGTAGAACTTCCTCATCGGGTTTCCAGGGCTGTAATCTTTACAGAAGCAGACTGCCACATCTTTCTCCCACAGAGCAGCTGATGGGTTCGAACTGTCAACCTGTCGGTGAGCAGCTGAGCACTTAACCACTGTGCCACCAGGGCTTCTTGAGGGTAGAATTAAAACCACCAAACCCACTGCGGTTGAGTTGACCTATAGGACAGAGTAGAACTGCCCCATAGGGCTTCCAAAGCTTTAATATTTATGGAAGCACACTGCCACATCTTTCTTCTGCTGAGCAACTGGTGTCTTCGAACTGCTGACCTTTTTGGTTCACAGTCAAGCGCTCTTAACCAATGCACCACCCAGGGTTCCTTTAGCTCACATAGGATTGGTAAATAGGAGAATGATGTCAGTATAATGTGGCAGTGGTTTGGTTCATGATTTTCCAAGGGGAGCCAGAATAGTGGGAATAGAATTAAAATCTTCAACAGGAAAAAGCCGTCAGCTTGGCTTGCGATTATAAGCAAGATCCTTTTCAGCAGTATTTTATGAAAATTGAAAACGAGTGCCTGTATCCAGAGCTCCCTCCCCAGATAAGCTCACCGCCGCCACCTCCCACCTCCCACAGCTGTCCGCAGGTGGCAGGCTGCACTTCCTCCTACGCACAGCGTAATCGCTGCACCACTAGCTTGGAGGGCCACTCTTATTTGCATGATCTCAGCGTCTGCAAGCTGCATTTACACTGTTGCTTTTGTGTATTTTTCCTATCCCCTTAGGCAGCCTCCAGTCATACTTACCTGCCTGTCTGGACTATTAAAATGATCTCTGCCACTACCGATGATTGTTTTTGTTAGTATTAAAAAGTTGCATAGGTTTTGGGTCCTTTGCTCCAACCCTATTCCCCCTACACCCCATAACCACTATTAATTTTAGTGCACAGTTATGCAGAAAGTGAGTTTTTTCAGGAATTGAATATATCATAACAGAAAATCCTGTTCTCAAGTCCTGCGGCAGGTGACTCTGTTGAAGATTATCCAATTAGTTCTCCTAATTCCACACCCACCAGCCAATCATTACTTGGCTTTCCATACTTGCCTACAGAGAAAGAGTGCTTCCATTTGCTAGCTCAAGCATTCTCTTCTGCAAGACTTTGTGTTTCTCACTGTTACACACTGGGCTTTTGGTTTACATATCAGTCTCTTTTTGAGCATGGTTGATGTGCTTGGTCCCTGGAGAATGGAGCTAGGCTCAGTGTGCTGACAGATTGGGGTTCTGAGCTTGCTGGGCTGAGGGACAACACTGAGACATTCACCAAGGTGATGCCTCGGTGAGCCTTTCGCAGCCGGCTGGTCTTGCTTTGGCAACACATCTCTATACTACTGAGGGCTGTATCCTCTTTTCTCACTACTACGTACCGCACACTGTGAAAGCTTAGTTCCAGGGAGAAGCAGCACAGTGTAATGGTTAAGAGTCTGGCTGCTAAAGCCAGAGTGACTAGATTCAAAGCCTGGCTCCCCAACTTCCCAGTCGATTGACCTTGGGCAAGTTCCTCAACCTCTCTGTGCCTCAGTTTTGTCATCTACAGAATGGAGATAATAACAGTATCTACTTTATAGGTTAAAGTGAAGATTATATGAGATAGCAATAAGTAAATAACTTAAAACAGTTTGTAGCACATAGGAAACACTGTGTTTCCTACTTTAATTTTAGAGAACTAGTTTATATTTGGAGCCCTGGTGGCTTAGTGGTTAAGAGCTTGGCTGCTAACCAAAAGGTCAGCAGTTTGAATCCACCAGTGGCTCCATGGAAACCCTATGGGACAGTTCTACTTTGTCTGAATCAGAATCAACTAGATGGCAACAGGTTTGGTTTTTTGGTTTTATTTATATTTGGATAATTTTCTCATCTAAGTTATTAAATGTAATTTTTACAACAACCATATGAGGTTGCGCAGATATTCCACCCATTTTACAGATGAGGAAACTAAAGCTTAAGTGACCTGCCCACAATTACATAGTTGATAGGTGTCAGAGCACAGACTAAAGTCTAGGCCACGTGGATATTTTTATCTCTCTCAAAAAACTACTAGGGAAGACATGTACATTATAGTACTCAGATTCTGTTATATAGAGATCTGTATAAAAAAATTCTCTAGGATTTACTATCTAGGAAAAAAATAAGTGTTTCCTGAAGAATTCAGATACAACTCTTTTTTTTTTTTTAAATCTGAAAATAAGAACTTCATTATAATTCACCTTGTTGCCTTGGTTGCTTGGAGTTATAGTTCAAAATGGTGAGGTGCCATAACCATTTGCTTTAGATTCCCCCTCCTTCTATATGATTTTTAATATTTATTTTTGACTGTCCTAATATATATATGTATATATACATACACACACTTTTTTGATATTGGCCACAAAGTGAGTTTAGTGAGGTAATCTTTTTAAAAAATCTCTATTACTGAAATTTTTAAACACAAATGCAAAAGTGTTGTTGTTAGGTGGCATCAAGTCAGTTCTGACTCAGCGACCCTATGTACAACAGAACGAAACACTGCCTGGTCCTGTGCCATCCTCACAATCATTGCTATGTTTGAGCCCATCATTGCAGCCACTGTGTCAGTCCATCCCATTGAGGGTCTTCCTCTTTTTCACTGACCCTCTACTTTACCAAGCATGATGTCCTTCTCCAGGGACTGGTCCCTCCTGATAATATGTCCAAAGTACATGAGATGAAGTCTTGCTATCCTCGCTTCTAAGGAGCCCTCCGGTTGTACTTCTTCCAAGACAGATTTGTTCGTTCTTCTGGCAGTCCATGGTATATTCAATATTCTTCGCCAAAACCATACAAAGGCATCAATTGTTTAGTCTTCCTTATTCATTGCCCAGCTTTCACATGCATGTGAGGTGATTGAAAATACCATGGCTTGGGTCAAGCACATCTTAGTCCTCAAAGTGATATCTTTGCTTTTGAACACTTCAGAGAGGTCTTTTGCAGCAGATTTGCCCAGTGCAATATGTCGTTTGATTTCTTGACTGCTGTTGCCATGGGTGTTGATTACACAAAAGTAGAACAAGGTATACAATTTTTTTTAATGTGTAAGAATCTATGAGCACTATAAGGATTTTAAAAAACATTGGTTTTATCTCCAAAGAACATCTAGTTTACTAAAAGAAAGAAGGGTTCTGAAATAACTACAGTTGGAGGCAGCCTATGTGCCTTGCCTTAAGCAGGATCCTCATAATAAAGCCTATAGGAGTGCTGGCAGGAAGAGCATTGCAGCCAGTGGTCCGTTAGAGAAGGCTCCATGGAGCAGAATTTCAGTAGGTTTAGAAAAATGATGAAATGCTTATTTATAGTATCTTGTTTCCCCCTTGAGCCCATCTGTATTAGCCATCTGTATTTGGTTATATCTGTAGTGTCTAACAGTTTGTCACTGCTGCAATTTCCATGCATATCCTTTCATCTTCTAGATCTTCAATCTAGCTGTTAATTAGGAGTAGGTATAATGTGGCTGTTCACGCCTTTCTACTCTACAGGCTTCTTAACCTTAAGAAAGGTGTTTGCAGCTTTTGACACAGCTTACAGTACAGTTATTTGATGTGTACTATAGTTAATTAGCAGAGCCCTGCTGGCACAGTGGTTAAGAGCTCAGCTGCTAACCAAGAAGGTCGGCAGTTCAAATCCACTGGCTGCTTCTTGGAAACCCTATGAGGCAGTTCTGCTTTGTCCTATAGGTTTGCTATGAGTCGGAATGGACTAGATGGCCCTTAACAAAAACAATATAGCTAATTAGCATTCTTTACATGAGACACTGTAAATGATAAGAAAGCCATCTACATCATCCACCTGCAGGCTTCACAGACAGGAGTCATGCCTGGGTGGGTCTGCAGCTTTTTGGATCTAGAAACTCAATTGTAATGTGTTTACTCAGGGGGTAATGGGCTAACTCACACAGGCTAAGAGACTAGTGTATAAACCAGAATGCTAATCTGTTTTTTAATATTTTATTTTTTTTGTTGTTGAAAATATACACAGCAGAACATACATCAATTCAACAATTTCTACATGTACAATTCAGTGACATTCTTCAAGGTATGGCAACCATTATCACTCTCCTTTTCCAAATTGTTCCTCCCCCATTAACAAATTCACTGCCCCCTAAGCTTCCAATAGAATGCTAATCTATTTATAACAATTATAATTTTCTATAACCAAAATTTAATTACATGCTATCAAACACACACACACACACACACACACCCCAAGAAAGTTCCTGGTGAGCAAAGCCTCAGAGCCAAAAAGTCCTGGAGGGACATTTCCTCTCCTGACCGTTGAGAACATCTAGCACCTTTCCTTCACTTTACAAACAAGGAGATTGAACCCAAAGAGATTAAGTAACTTGTTCAAGGTCATGCAACAGGCAGTGGAAGGCCTGGGTCTGTTATTACTAAGCCTTTGTTTGAATTCTGTAGCCCTTTTGCGGACACTAATTCTGATCTCTCCACAGAGAACACAACAGAGGCAAGCGGCAGAGAACAGGAAAAGGAAATGAAAGATGCAGAAAGAGACAACAAACTGCAGAACTGAAGGTGGATCCTTGGCCACAAGTAGAAAAGGAAATGATGGAGAAAGCAGTGGCACCCACAGAACAAGAAACTGAGCCTCCTGGGAGTGTAACCGAAGCCCTCCCTCCTAGAGCCTCCAAAGAAAAAGCCATGGCTGAGAAATCCTTTTCTGAAATATGTCAAGAAAGCATTATACATCAGGAAAATTGTTCTGAGTATGAAGAAACAGGAGCACAAAATCACCCTTCTGAAACATGCCAAGATATGACTGAACCTGAAAACCTTTCTCCTAAAATGTGTCAAGAAATAGCTGTACTTCGAGACCATCCTTCCAAAATGTACCAAGATATGGCTGAACCTGAAGACCTGTCTTCTAAAATGTGCCAAAGAACATCTGTAGTGACAGCCCTTCCTTCTAAAACATCTGAAGATACAGCTGGCCTAGAAGGATGCTCTCCTGAAGTATACCCTAAACCAGATGTGCCTAAAGGCTACCCTCTTGAAACAGACCAAAAAACGGCTGAACCCAAGGAATGGAATTCTGAACCAGACCAAGAAATGGCTGAGAATGAAAGCTTCTTTCCTAAAATACAGGATGGAGCTGTGCCTAAAGACCTTTCTACAAAAACATACCCAGGAACAACTGAACCTAAATACTTCTCTCATAAAACATATAAAGAAGTGACTGTGTCTAGAACTCCCTCTCCTAAAACCATCCGAGAAACACCTGGGCCTGAAGAACATTCTCCTGAAGTATACCAAGAAACACCTGGGCCTGAAGAACAGTCTCCTGAAGTATACCAGGAGAAACCTAGATCTGAAGAACATTCTCCTGAAGTATACCAAGGAACACCTGGGCCTGAAGAACAGTCTCCTGAAGTATACCAGGAGAAACCTAGATCTGAAGAACATTCTCTGGAAGTATACCAAGAAACACCTGGGCCTGAAGAACAGCCTCCTGAAGTATACCAAGAGAAACCTGGATCTGAAGAATATTCACCTGAAATATATCAAGAAACATCTGGGCCTGAAGACCTCTCTACTAAGACATGTACAAATAAAAATGTGCCTAAAGAATGCTTTCCAGAACCATACCAAGAAACAGGTGGGCCTGAAGGCCAGGATCCTGTAACACACCAGGAAGATGCTAAGGATTTTTATACTTTTCCTCGAGGTAGGGGGTGTTTATTGGAGGCAAGACAGTGATAGTATCTCTTAATTATGTTCCCCATTTATAATCACAGCACCCACATAGGTAGATCCCCACCAGAGTAGTGATTTCCAACCTTCTTTGACAATCCCAGGTTATCCCATTATCTCAACAGGTACCGTGAATGTCACTGGATAGTTCCAAGTAAAAAAGGTTTTTCGTTCAAACAATGTCTCTCTTGGCACATTTCCAAAAAGCTAAAAGAAAATAATTGAAAATGCAAGCATGTACAGTAGGTACTTATACATACTATCCATTTTGAGAAGCTTTAGTCAGTAAGGGAAATAAACCTAATACAGGATGAAGTATGTGCAAAATATTTTAAAGGACGTTTAAGTCTAGATTAACAAAAACTTGATGAATGAGGTTTTTCTATAAATTTTAATTTTCCTGATAAACTAAAGGCAAGTAAATTAATGACAAAAGGCCCTAAGGGAGATAGGAACTTTCATTTTTGTATGATTTATTAGGTCTACCAAAAACCCCTTCTACTTCAATATTTGTTGCTGAAAAGCTTTCTCCTTCTCTCTTTAGCAATCATAGACTTCTGAAAATCACGTGACCTTTCTTTGATGGTGGTGGATCTTTACTTGCCTCAGGGACAAAACTGAGAATGTTTTTTCTCTTTGTACAGTATTGTAGACAGATGAGAAATGGGCTGGACCTATCAGATCATAGTTATGCCCGAGGAACTGTTTTCTAAAGAAGTCCTGGTGGTAGTTTGTTTCCTTACCATTTCCTTTTTTTCCTGTAACTATTATAACAATGTTTAATGAACATCATTGGAAGTCATATTTTTTAGCTAACATTTATTTAGTACTTTCTATATGCCAGACAGTGTATTAAATATTTCATGTGAATTATTTTGTTCAATATTAACAATCCTATTGGATAAGTAATATTATCCCCATTTTATGTATAAGGAAACTGAGGCACTGAAGGGATAAATTTGTCTGATTATTTCCTTTGGCTAAATCCCTAGAAGTGGAATTGCTGAGTCAAAGACTACTCACATTTAAAGATTGGATGCATTTAGCCAGATTAGCCTCCAGAAATGTTGTAGCAATTCACACAAACCAAGAGTTGATAAAAGCTCCTTTCCCCCACACCCTTGCCAATACGGTGCATTATTACATTTAAGAGAATTTAAAAATTCTTGCCTATCCGTTAGGTTCTGTTTTTTTTTTTTTTTTTTTTAAATAAGAATACCTCATTGTTTTAATTTCCTCTTTGATTATTAATGCTATTGGGCATCACTTTATGATTATTGCAAATCTGGATTTTGTGTGTGTGTGAATTGCCTGTTAGAATGTTTGTCCCATTTTTATTCTGGAATATTTGTATCTTTTAATTGATTAAAAACCTTTTAAAATACTATAGTTATTAAACTTTTACCTATATATAGGTTGGAAATTTTTTTTCCAATTGCTGTTTAACTATGCTTATAGTGGTTTTTGCCATATGGAATTTTAAGTTTTAGCTAGTCAAACATGTCAACTTCTCCTTTATAGTTTCTGGCCTCTGTGGCATGATCAGAAATGCCTTTCTAATCAATCCTGAGATTATAAATATATTCTATATTTTAAACATTTATGATATTATAATATTTATATCTTTAATCTATCTAAAATTCATTTTGTGCATGGTGTGAGGTAGAGATTTTTTTCTCCAAATGAATAGTCAATTGTCCCAATACTATTTATTGAAGCTATTTTTGAAAATTTTGTTCGATATTACAGAAATGAAAGAAAAATCCAAAGCAGAAGAACCAGAAAAACCAGCAAATCTGAATAGTCCTCAAGAGGATCATCCAGAAGATGACATCTATAGCTTTGTTTTATTTTAACAATGCTCAACCATAATAGTTATCCTCCAATGGAATATACATCTCTACAACATTCATTAATGTTTTAACTTAGTCTTTTTTCTATTTATAGACCATATCTGAAAGAGAGAACTAACATGTTTTTTTTTAGGCTCGATTAACATAGATAATATCTTGCTTGTGCGTGTGTGTGCGCGTGTGTGTGTGTGTGGTGGTGGTGGTGGTGGTGAGAACAGACAAAGAAAAAGGGAAGGGGGAGGGCTGAACAATTGACTTTTCCCCCTAAGAACAAACATTTCTTTGATTAAATATTAATAGCAGGTATGTGATTAATTCTGAACATTTAAAAATTTTTAGAAGTATACAGTTTTCTTGTAAACTTTGTTCAATTATTAATGTAACAATAACATCAAAATTTTATTCAGTCTTTAGTTGGCTCTTTTAGTTAATTTCATTAGCAATTTTTATCATTTTGATACATCTTCAAGATATCTTGGAGTGATGAGTGTAGTTTACTTTTGTATTTGAATTTTGATTTTATGTTTTTACTTTTAAAATATTCTATTTGTGTAAAATGTATATTAAATAATTATTACATGCTTAATTGTGTGAATGGCATCATGTTAATCACTGTGGTGGTTAGAAGACCTATAAGACAGTCCCTGCCCACCAGGAATTTAGTCTCATGGTAGAATAAAATGAAAAATAAATAATTACAAAGGTAAATAGTAATGCTAGCACCCATTGAATAATAGAAACAATAAAGGGAATGTTCACTTTTTGCTAGAGTTACCTAAAAAGGGGAGTCTTGAAATGTCGTCTTAGTCATCTAGTGCTGCTGTAACAGAAATACCACAAGTGGATGACTTTAACAAAGAGAAATTTATTTTCTCACCGTCTGCTAGGCTACAAGTCCAAATTCAGGGCGTCAGCTCCAAGGGAAGGCTTTCTCTCTCTGTTGGCTCTGGAGGAAGGTCCTTCTCAGCAGTCTTCCCCTGGACTAGGAGATTCTCCACGCAGGAACCCCAGGTCCAAAGGACGCGCTCTGCTCCTGGCGCTGCTTTCTTGGTGGTATGAGGTCCCCTGTCTCTGCTCACCTCTCTCCTCTATATCCCAAAAGAGATTGCCTCAAGACACATAATCTTATAGACTGAGTCCTGCCTCACTAACACAACTGCTCCATCCCACCTCATTAACATCAGAGGTAGGATTTATAATACATAGGAAAATCACATCAGATGACAAAAATGGTGGACCATCATACAATACTGGGAATCATGGCCTAGCCAAATTGATACACATATTTCTGGGGGACACAATTCAATCCATGACAAATATGGAGAGGATTTGTATAGGTGAGGATAAGCAACACTACTGTATGTGACACAGAGAAGGGCAAGTTACAGACATATTCAGGAGAACTGCATGCAAGCTACCCTAGTTAGTATAGGGTTCATAAGGAATAGTAGGTTAGCATGCTAACAATCTGGTATTACTAGACAGATGGTAGAGAATTTTGCATATATAACTAAGGAGTAATTATCACTTGTTAGGTAATGAGGAACTAGGTAAGACTTTTGAAAATGGAGTGGCAGGTTTAATATTTTAAGAATATTTGGTGATAATGGTCAGGATAAGCTGGAAATGACAAGGGACTGGGATCAGGGATAGGAACTACTCTGGGTGGGAAGATGTTTGAAAATCCTCTTGGTATTTTTTGCGGTAGGGGTTGGGTTTTTTTTTTAATTTCATTTTTCTTTCTGTTATTAAAGAAGATTCAAAGTAAAGGAGACTTTTGCAAATGAGAGTCAGTCAGCAAGGGCACAAGTGCTCAAGCTCTCCACATAGACACTGTGCTAGGTACCAGGCTATAGCGAAGAACAAAGATCCCAGTGCTTGAGGCATTCCTGGAGAACTTCCTGGTGCATTAGAAACACTGGGGAAGATTTAAAAAATACAGATGCCCAGACCCTTCCCCCAGGGATTCTGATTCAACTGTCTAGGGTGAGGTCAGGCACAGGTATATTTATTTTTAAACTGTTTTTTGCTTTAAATTATCTTTTTTGGAGGAGTAATTTTAGAACAATAGAAAAGTTGCAAAGATAGTACAGAAGGTGTTTGCCCTAGTTAGTTAAATGTTAACATCTTACATAACCATCGTCCATTTGTCGAAACTAAGAAATCAAGATCGTTACATTACCATTAACTGAACTATAGCCTTTATTCTGATTTCACTAGATAGCTTTTCCACTAAAGTCCTTTATATGCTTCAGGATCCAATCTAAGATACCACATTGCATTTAGAGTATTTTCAGTTTAAAAAGGGGCCCTGGTTAAGAGCTCAGGCTCCTAACCAAAAGGTTGGCAGTTCGAATCCACCAGTTGTTCCTTGGAAACCCTATGGGGCAGTTCTACTCTGTTCTACAGGGTCACTATGAGGCAGAATTGACTCGATGGCAACAGGGTTTTTTTGGTTTTTAGTTTAAAAGGAGGCCTGGTGTGCAGTGGTTAAAGTACTTGGCTGCTAACCAAAAGGTTGGCCGTTCAAACCCACCAGCCACTCTGCAGGAGAAAGATGTGGAAGTCTGCTTCCGTAAAGATTTACAGCCTTGGAAATCCTATAGGGCAGTTCTACTCTGTCCTATTGGGTCAGTAAGAGTCAGAATTGACTCGATGGCAGTGGGGTTTAAAAGCTCTCCAGGTGATTTTAATATGCAGGTAGGGCTAAGAAACACTGGCTTAGTGGGCAGTTACAATGCTGTTTCCCTCCTATTTTTTTTTTCTTTTCCTCCCCAGACATTAAGTCCCCCCCCCCATTGCAGGGTATATTCATTGTACAATCATTACTCATACTCCATATTACTCAAGTAACATTCAGAGTAGCACAACTACACAATAACCTCTGACATCTGGGTAGCACTTCAGAATAGATACTTCCACATACACTTTTATCTGACCCGCTCAAAAAGACAAAAAGACTGTGAAAATAGCTGGGTAGTGATTATCACTCCCATTTTAATGGATGAGGGAATAAACTCAGAGAGGCTGAATCCTCACCCAAAGTCCTGTCTGACTTCTCAGTGCCTTTCACCACTGTCTTAGGCTGGGTTCTCTAGAGAAGCATAACCAGTGAAGCATATATATATGTATGGAGAGAGAGAGAGATTTATATCAAGGAAATGGCTCATGCGGTTGTAGAGGCTGTAAAGTCCCAGGCCCATGGGTCAGGCATTAGGCTGGAGTCTTCACCTGACTTACATAGCTGCAGGGACTGACAAACCCAAGATTGGCAGTCCAGACAGCAGGCTGCTGTCTCACAGGCTGTGGAGGCCAACGAATCCCAGGATCGTCAGGCTATACAGCAGGCTGCTGGCTCAAGTCCCAAGAACCGGAGGTCAGATGACAACAAGCTGGATGCAAGATCTGGAGCAAGCAAAAGCCTACGAGCTTTGCCAGAACATCCATATGTATTGGATGCAGGCCACATCCCCGAAGAAACCCCCCTTACAACTAATTGGCTGATCAAACCAGATCACATCATGGAGGTGATTAAATTACACCACAAAATGGAGGATAACTACATCATTACATAACTGCCAAACTACATCGTTATATAACTGCCAAACCACTGAGAACCATAGCCCAGCCAAGTTGACACACAACTTTATCCATCATAACCACCTTTGCTCCATATTTGGAATGGTTCTTTTGTCTCAATTTCACCTGCCTAAGTAGTTTGGAAGTGTGTAAAGGGGAGCCCTGGTGGCACAGTGGTTAAAGCACTCAGCTGCTAACTGAAAGTTCAGCAGTTCCAACTCCCAGCCTCTCTGTGAGAGAAAGATGTGGCAGTTCCGCTTCCATAAAGATTTACAGGCTTGGAGACCCTATTGGGCAGTTCTACCCTGACGTATAGGGCTGCTGTGAGTCAGAATTGACTTGACGGCAGTGGGCTGGGAAGTAAATAAAAATTAGAGAAAAAAGAGTAAACTGAAATCTCAAGTTTTTATAGTGTTGCATTAAGATGAAACTTAAAAGATTTGCATATCAATAACATATAGGGACATAAAAGTGAAAGAGATGGGGAAGTTGACAGCAAGAGGAATACAGTAGATTAGAGGAAGAGAGATCTCCTTCTGCCTTTTAGGACCGTTTCTACCTGCTCTCTTACACCACCCCTTTATACACATAATCTCTGTTTTTTTACTATCCTCATTCGAAAACCACTATGCATCTGAAAATGCCCCAGTTTTATTCTTGACTTAGAACCTTGAGGTCAGTCAGAATTAAAGTTTTCATAAATCCATCTAAGCCTACTTGGTGCTGCCCTTCTTCCAAGGTAGATACAATGGTTGTTCTTAACAATCCATAAACCCTATGATATTAAATACAAAACGACGAGTGAGAAAGTCCAGAGCTATAATTGATTCTCAAAGGGGCCCTTCACCCAAATGAGTGGTTAAAAACCACTATGCTGAGAAGTGTTTCTCAAAGTATAGGCTGATGATCAACTGTTTCAGAGTCAATTATGGTGTTTTTTAAGGCAGTTTCCTAGGCCCAACCTCCAGAGAAAGAGTTGAGTCTTATAAACTAGAAATAATAAGATATGATTCTAGGCAGGATAATAAAAACCTCAAATCATAGATATATTTAAAAAGTGCTACGTATTTCATTTAAATTCTTATTTTTAGTAAAGAGAATTTTTACCTGTAAAAGGTAGGAATCCACTTCATCAATGTCTCCAAGTCTGTTTTGCATTTCAGACTTGTCACACTTGGTAATTACATATTTTTGTGTGTGTGATTATCTAATGTTTACCCTACCATCCCGCCTTTAAGGCCAGGAAGGCAAATAACAGCTCATCTTCTACAGTATTAATCCTTCCACAAATCAAAGGAGACTTATCACTTTCAGGAACACCACCATCTAGTGGCAAGTGCAGCTATTTCCGCCTCAGTTTTACAGTCTGCGTGTATAGCCCAATGATTCTCAAACTTGTTCTCCAGCTGGTCAGAACTGTTCCTGCTGAGAACAGAATAAAAGTAGCCTTTTCCAAATTGTCACGTGGAAAATACTTGCCCGATGACATACATATAAATTTGATTAAATCTAAAGTTCTTGTTTGTTTTTAACCATAATCTTAGTTCTTACTGCTGTTATTTTCTACTAGCCTATGAAAGATTGAACAGGCTTAGAAACAGCTTTTCATGTTAAGCTTTTAAATCTTTAGACTTACTTGCATTCTTATATTTCATATTGCAGGCAATAGAAGTTTTTTTTTTTCCCCTTGTACCAACAGGATAAAAGCCCAGGAACAGAATTATGTATATAGAAAAACTTGATGTATGTGAGACATGGCATTACAAGTCGATTCGTAAGGGATAGGCTACCAATGCAAGGACAATTGGTCATCCATAGGATTAGAAAAAAAGATTAACGGCCCTCAACTTCTCAGAGCTGCCTGGAAGCAACAATCTCCCCAATCGACAGGGTATGTTGACTCTCAGCATTTCATGCTCACTTTTGTTCCTGTGAGGTATGGAGCACAAGAAAGGTTCTTAAAGCCTACTCAGGCGTGGGGTTCCACTAACATAGACTTGAAATACGGTTTATTGGAGGTTCTTTTATAATAAAACATGGTTTATTATGGAAAATTTGGAACATACAGGGAAGTACAAATAATCATCTGTATATTTTCACCAGCCAAAGGGAATTTTTAACATTCTCTAACATTGTCTTTTTCCTGCGTGTCTATGGACTGACATAGTGGCTGCAACAATGGAGTCAAGCGTTAACAACGATCACGAGGATGGCACAGGACAGAGCCGTGTTTCGTTCTGTTGTACACAGGGTCGCTATGAGCCAGAACCCACTCCAGGGCACCTAACAACAACTGCATATACACATCCTTTTTTAAAAAAAATTAGGATTACTCGTTTGATATGTAGATTGCTTCCAATGTTAGCTTATTAATAATGCTACGAGAGACATCTTTGTGCGGAAATCTTCAGCCGTGCGTTCCCTCTCGGAAAGCGCGGGGAACTCGGTGGCCCTACTCTCCCGGTAGAGCGGTCAACCGCAGCAGCCCAACGCGGACATCATGACACCGCCTCAACCAAAACCTCCGCCGACCCGCGGCGCCACCCAACGTGCACGCACGCTCCAGGGCCGCTGCCGGCGAGCGCCCCTAGTCCCACAGAGCGCGTCCAACCCAGAAGCCGCACCAACCCGCCGGCGCGACTACTGCGCAGGCGCCAAGACATGGAGAACGGAAGCGGAAGGTTTCACGCGTCGGCCAGGCATCAAGGGATCGGTAATCATGCGCGGCTTAGAGGCGGAAGGGCCTCGGCCACCAGCGACCCCATGCGAGTGCGTGAAGCCGGCTCTGGAGAAAGGTAACTTCTAAGAGGCTTGCGGTACCGTACTGAAAAGCAGCCTAGGCTCAAGCAGCTGACGTCACTGTAGAGAGGGAGGTGAGCTGCGAGACCTTGAATTTACACGCGTCACTCCCCTTGTATTGCGAAGGCAGGCGTCACGTGTTCAGCGGACCACGTGATGTGTCTGAGGCGATGACGTCGGCCAGCAAGTTCTTTTATTAGTAGCTGCTGTTTACCTGGTCTTGGCTGGTTGGCAGTGCTCAGTCTTTTCTGTTAGGGAGTTCTGGCTTCAATAGGAGAGATAGGACGTGTGGAAGCTCGCCTTGTGCCGGTTAACCAAAAAAAAAAAAAAAAAAACCAAACCGTTGCCGTCCGGTCAATTACGACTTAATAGTGACCCTATGGGAAAACGTAGAACTACCCCATAGGGTTCCAAGGAGCGGTTGGTGGATTCGAACTTTCGACCTTTTCGTTAGGAACCTGAACTCTTAACCACTGCGCCATCAGGTCTCCTTGTGCTGGTTAGGAACTACTAAATGTCACAGGAGAGGGACATCCTGTGTTGTAGGAAATGAGGGAAAAGGGAAAGTTTTGAGGGAGGAAATAATTTTAATCTGAGCGTGGAAAGACAAGTGTGAGTTTGTTTCTCTTTATTTACACCACTTTATATATAAGGAGCCCTGATGGTGCAGTGGTTAAGCACTCCGCTGCTAAGGGAAAGTTGGTGGGTTCTAATCCACCAGTGGCTCTGCGGGAGAAAGATGTGGTAGTCTACTACGGTAAAGATTACAGCCTTGGAAACCCTATGGGGCGGTTCTACTCTAATATGGTTGCTATGAGTCAGAATTGACTCCAGGTACCAGAACAAAAACAACATATAGAGGGAATAGGAGTCTCTGGGTGGCACAAACCGTTAAGCACTCCACTATTAGCTGAAAGGTTGGTGGTTGGAACCCACCTAGAGTCACCTCGGAAGCCAGGTGATCTGCTTCGGAAAAGTCATGGCTTTGAAAACCCTGGAGCAGTTCTACCCCGCAGGGGTGGGGTCGGCATGACTCTGAATCAACTGGAGGGCAACTAACAACAAAAATAATATAGCAGGCATAGAGAGGAATATATTAATTTTAGAAACTATAGGAAGCAAAGGGAAGAAAATTAAAATAGCTTGCCATCACCCAGTGAAGGCCTCTGTTTATGTCTTGGTGTCTGCTTTCCGTGTTTGTTTCAGTTGCGTGTTGTTAATTGTTGTCAGGGGCAGTCGGAAGCTACCTTATGTACGACAGAACAAAACGCTGCCGGGTCCTGTGCCATCCTCACAGTCATTGTTAGGCTTGACCCACTGTTGAGCCCCCATGTCAATCTGTCTTGTTGAGGGTCTTCCTCTTTTTCACTGACCATCTACTTTACCAAGCACGATGTCCTTCTCCAGGGACTGGTGCCTCCCTGATAACACATCCAAAGTAGATGAGATGAAGTCTCGCCATCCTTGCTTTTAAGGAGCATTCTGACTGTAGTTCTTCCGAGACAGATTTCTTCATTTTTTTTGGCAGTCCAGGGTATATTCAATATTCTTTGCAGTATCATAATTCAGAGGCATCAATTCTTCTTTGGTCTTCCTTATTCATTGCCCAGCTTTCACATGCATATGAAGTGATTGAAAACACCGTGGCTTGGGTCAGGCGCACTTTAGTCCTCAAGCTGGCATCTTTGCTTTTGAAGACTTTAAAGAGGTCTTTTGCAGCAGATTTGCCCAATGCAATGCGTTGTTTGATTTCTTAACTGCTTCCTTGGGTGTTGATTGTGGATCCAAGTAAAATGAAATCCTTGACAACTTCAGTCTTTTCTCCATTTACCATGGTGTTGCTTATTGGTCCAGTTGTGAGGATTTTTATCTTCTTTATGTTGAGGTATAATCCATACTAAAGGCTGTGGGTCTTTGATATTCATCCGTAAGTGCTTCAAGTCCTCTTCACTTTCAGCAAGGAAGATTGTGTCATCTGCGTAACATGGGTTGTTAATGAGTCTTCCAGTCCTGATACCCTGTTCTTCATATAGTCCAGCTTCTTGGATTATTTGTGCGGCATACAGATTGAATAAGTATGGTGAAAGGATACAACCCTTATGCACGCCTTTCCTGACTTTAAACCATGCGGTATCCCCTTGTTTGGTTCGAACGACTGCCTCATGAACTATGTATAGGTTCCTCATGAGCATAATTAAGTGTTCTGGAATTCCCGTTCTTTGCAGTGTTATCCATAATTTGTTATGATCCACACAGTCAAATGTCTTTGCGTAGTCACTAAAACACAGGTGAACATCTTTCTGGTAGTCTCTGCTTTTAGCCAGGATCCGTCTGACATCAGCAATGATAATCCTCATTCCACGTCCTCTTCTGCATCAGGCTTGAATTTCTGGCAGTTCCCTGTTGATGTAGTGCTGCAACCACTTTTCAATGATCTTTGGCAGAATTTTACTTGCGTGTGATATTAATGATATTGTTTGATAATTTCCACATTTAGTTGGATCATCTTTCTTTGGAATGGGCATAAATATGGATCTCTTCAGTCAGTTGGCCAGGTAACTGTCTTCCAAATTTCTTGGCATAGACGAGTGAGTACTTCTAGCACTGCATCCATTTGTTGAAATATCTCAGTTGGTATTCTGTCAGTTCCTGGAGACTTGTTTTTTGCCAGTGTCTTCAGTGCAGCTTGGACTTCTTCCTTCAGTACCATCGGTTCTTGATCATATGCTATCTCCTGAAATGATTGAACATCTACCAATTCTTTTTGGTACAGTGACTCTGTGTATCCCTTCTATCTTCTTTTGATGCTTCCTGAGTCATTCATACACACTAGAAAAAGAAACTGATATATGACTCACTGTCTTATAGCCTATTTTTTAAATTCTATATCATTAAACTTCATTAAAACTTTTCCATGGCAGTTAATAATTTTCACAGTAAAGGGTTGCATACTATTTTATTTTATAGATGTCCTCTAACTTATTTAACCATTTCCCTATTGATGGGCATTTGTTATTGCCAATTTTCATTGTTCTAAATGAAAGTTCTTGAAACTAAAATCTTTTGTGTATGCTTTAAGTGTTTAACTTACGTTAAATTTCTTAGAAATACAGTTACTTGCTACCTTAGTTATATAGTGCTGCCGTAACAGAAATACCACAAGTGGATGGCTTTAACAAAGAGAAATTTATTCCCTCACAGTTTAGGTTGCTAGAAGTGGGAATTCAGGGTGCCATCTCCGGGGTAAGGCTTTCTCTGTCAGCTCTGGGGGAAGGTCCTTGTTATCAATCTTCCCCTGGTCGAGGAGCTTCTGAGCCCAAGGACCCCAGGTCCAGAGGACGCACTGTGTTCTCAGTGCTTCTTTCTTGGTGGTATGAGGACCCCCTGTCTCTCTGCTCACTTCTGTCTTCACATCTTAAAAGATACTGGTTTAAGACACAACCTGATCTTGTAGATTGAGTCCAGCCTAATTAACATAACTGCCTCTAATCCTGCCTCATTAATATCATAGAGGTAGGATTACAACACATAGGATAATCACATCAGATGACAGAATGGTGGACAATCACACAATACTAGGAATCATGGCCTAGCCAAGTTGACACATATTTTTAGGGGACACAATTCAGTCCATGACACGTGGGCAAAGTGTGTACTCACTTAAAAAAATTGTTGTTCACTGCCAGATTGTTGTTGTCTGTTGTCTTATGCCAGCAAGTTGATTCTAACTCAAGGCAATCTCATGTATTACAGAATAGAACTGAGCTCTGTACAGCTTCACTGTATTCTTTATGGAAGCAGATCACCAGGCCTTTCTTCCATGGTGCTGCTGGTTGTGTTCAAACCGCCAGCCTTTTGGCTAGTCGCCAAGGGCAGACCATGTGTGCCATCCAGGGACCCTATAGTCATAATAGGTTTTCTAAAATACTCTCTTTCTCGTATTTTTTTCTTTCTTTCTTACACCAGTGCTCTTCCCAGTATATCATCTAAAGGGATACTACTATGTCCCTGTAATGATGAATGCTATTTAAAAAAATCATTTTTTATAGTTGCATAGCATGTGGTAGATTTAAAAGTTAGGAAATCAGTGCAGTCAAGAAAATATTTTCCTATATCTTTTGTTTGATATTTTGGCTAATAATTTCTTCCTAATTTTCTTCTGTAGGAAATCTGTTAACTGAGCCAATTGGCTACTTGGAATCATGTTTCTCAACCAAGAATGGTACTCCAAGACAGCCATCCATTTGTAGCCTTTCACAGGCTTGTTTGAAGATTAGAAAGAGCATTTTTAATAATCCCGAACATTCCTTGATGGGCCTAGATCAATTTTCTCATGTTTGGTAAGTTGTTTTATAGTTAGAAGTGGTATTTTGGGTCAGAACTTGCCAATTAGTAAAGTTGAGTTGAAGACAACCTTGGAGGCAGCCATATATATCACCCTTGTCTATTGCATGAAATTCCTGTACTGCGTTCCTGCATATGTCAGCATAGCTTCGGTCCCCTCAAAGAAGCTCGGGACCCACTGAGGCGGCTGCACGTTCCACTTGCAGTTGAATCTAATTGTGTTGAATGCTTTCTGTTGAGCTGAAATATGCTACCTCATCAATTTTATCCTCTAGACCAGGGGATCTAGATTTTATCCTAGGTCATTATTCTATCCTCTATACCAGGGGGTGAGAAAACTACAGCCTGTGGACCAAATCCGACCCACCACCTGTTTTTGTAAATAAGTCTTGCTGGAATACAGCCATACCCATTGTTTATGTATTGTCTGTGGCTCCTTTTGTACTTTCAATGAAAAGCGTTGGCCAGTTGGCCCGAAAAGCCTAACATATTTACTGTCTGATTGTCTGCAGAAAAAGTTTGCAGACTCCTGCTCTAGACCCATAAAGACTTAAGTCTATTCTTTCTGAAAGGCAAAAGGGGTCTTAGAAATCTGTATACTTTTAATAAAGTATTAGATGGTACAATTGTTAAAAAGCTCTAGACTGCTAACTGAAATGTCAAGGTTCAAGCCCACCAGCTGCTCTGAGGGAGAAAGATGTGGCAGTCTGCTGTAAAGATTTCAGCCTTGGAAACCCTATGGGGCAGTTCTACTCTGTCCTGTAGGGTTGCTGTGAGTCAGAATTGACTCAGTGGCAACAGGTTTTTGTTTTTCTATATGGATGTCAATCTCAGTCCGTTCTTGCTCACTTCAAATTCAGCAGGCTGCATTGGTCTAAGTTTACTGGTGGTGGTGGTGGTTGTTGTTAGGTACTGTCAAGTCGGTTCTGACTCACAGAAACCCTACATACAACAGAACGAAACACTGCCCAGGCCTGTGCTGTCCTCACAGTCAGTGCTATGCTTGAGTCCATTGTCGCAGCCACTGTGTCAGTCCACCTCGTTGAGGGTCTTCCTCTTTTTGGATGACCGTCTACTAAGCATAATATCCTTCTCCAGGGATTGGTCCCTCCTGATAACACGTCCAAAATATGTGAGATGAAGTCCTGCCATCCTTGCTTCTGTGGAGCGTTCTGGCTGCACTTCCTCCAAGACAGATTTGTTCGTTCTGCTGGCAGTCCATGGCATATTCAGTATTCTTCACCGACACCATAATTCAGAGGCATCAGTTCTTCTTCAGTCTTCCTTATTCATTGTCTAGCTTTCCTGCGCATATGAGATTGAAAATACCATGGCTTGGAACAGGTGGACCTTAGTCCTTAAAGTGACGTCTTTGCTTTGTAACACTTTAAAGAGATGGTTTACAGCAGGTTTGCCCAATACAATGTGTCTTTTGGTGTCTTGACTGCTGCTTCCGTGGGTGTTGATTGTGCATCCAAGTAAAATGAAATCCTTAATAACTTCAGTATTATCTCCATTTATCATGATGTTGCTTATTGGTCCGGTTGTGAGGATTTTTGTTTTCTTTATGTTAAAGTGTAATCCAAACTGAAGGCTGTAGTCTTTGGTCTTCGTCAGTAAGTGCTTCAAGTCCTCTTTCAGCAAGCAAAGTTGTGTCATCTGCATAATGCAGGTTGTTAATGAGTCTCCTTCCAATCCTGATGCCCTGTTCTTCATATAGTCCAGCTTCTTGGATTATTTGTGTGGCATACAGATTGAATAAGTATGGTGAAAGGATATAACCCGATACACACCTTTCCTGACTTTAAACCATGTGGTATCCCCTTGTGCTGTTTGAATGATTGCCTCTTGGTCTGTGTACAGATTCCTCATGAGCACTGTCCTAGTCATCTAGTGCTGCTATAACAGAAATACCACAAGTGGATGGCTTTAACAAAAAAATTTATTCCCTCATGGTGGAGGAGGCTAGAAGTCCAAATTCAGGGTGCCAGCTCCAGGGGAAGATGTTTTCTCTATGTTGGCTCTAGGGGAAGGTCCTTGTCATCAGTCTTTCCCAGCTGAGAGCTTCTCAGCACAGGAACCTGGGGTCCAAAGGATGTGCTATTCTCCTGGCTCTTGTTTCTTGGTGGTAGGAGGTCCCTATGTCTCTCTGCTCACTTCTTTCTTTTATATCTCAAAAGAGATTGGTTTAAGACACAGCCTAATCTTGTAATTTGAGTCCTGCCTCATTAACATAACTGCTGCTAATCCCACCTCATGAACATGATAGAGATAGGATTTACAACACATAGGGAAATCACATCACATGCCAAGATGGTGGACAGACAATACTGGGAATCATGGCCTAGCCAAGTTGACACATATTTTTTGGGGGACACAGTTAAGTCCATGACATTCCACCCTTTGAGGCTGAGGCATCTCTTCTTCCTATGTTCCCTTTTTCTTCAGTTTCTGCTTCCAGGTTCCTTGCCTCTCAGCCCCTCGAGCATCACTGCCTGCGTCTGCCCTGCTGGGGCAGGTGTTCCAAAGCCCTTTAGCTCCACCAATAAGTGCCTGGAGGCACCCCTCTCCATCAGTAAACTTCGGCTGGAAGGCAGTCAGCTCCCTTGCTCCATGGATTGATAAGCATAGCTCCACCAGTAAGTGCTTGGAGGCACCCCACTCTGCCAGGAAGCCTCCTGCACAAAGGCACTCAGCTTTCTTGCTCCGTGGGTCAGCTCCAACGCTGTCTCATGCCAGTCTTCTGTTCCTTTAACTGCCATTTCTCTGCTGCTGCCATTGCTGTGTTGCTGCTGCTTGCCATTTGTGCCATCTCCAGTGCAACAGCTTTCCTCATTTCCTTCAGAGTCCTCTAGCCATTTATAGTTTCAAAACGGCTTCCACATTTTAGGTATCTGTTACAGCAGCACCCCCCCACTCCCAGTACCAAATTCTGTCTTAGTCGTCTAGTGCTGCTGTAACAGAAATACCAGAAGTGGATGGCTTTAACAAACAGAAGTTTATTGTCTCACAGTCTAGGAGGCTAGAAGTCCTAATTAAGGGCGCCAGGTCCAGGGGAAGGCATCATCTCTCTGTCAGCTCTGTTGGGAGGTCCTTGTCATCAATTTTCCCCAGTCGAGGAACTTCTCAGTGCAGGGACCCCAGGTCCAAAGGACATGCTATTCTCCTGGCTGATGATATTGAGGTTTACAGGTGAAGACTTAAAATTGTTTATTTTGAAATAGTTTTCTTTGTTTTTAATGTAAATTTGGAGACATGGGTAGAGTAGAAAGAACATGGGTGTTCTGACCTAGTTTATGTGATCTTGGTTGGATTGTTTAAAAAAAAAAAATTGGCTGTTAATCAAAATGGATTCAAAAGTATATAAAGAGATTTTTCCTTATCTCCTCTATTTTCCCCTTTTCTTGCTTTCCCTATCCCTCCCACACTCTTCAGAGATTATCACTTTTAACAGCTTGGTGTGTATCTGCCAGACATTTTCTTTCTTTTCTTTTTTTTAAATGCACATAGAAGCATAAATATACACATGTAGTGTGGGTGTTTGTTTTAAAAAATGAAATATGTTTTCTTTAGTCAACAGAATATCATAGACAGCCTTCATGTTAGTTAGAAGCATTCTTTCTGTTTAATTTTGGGAGGTTAAAGTGTCCCCCCCCAAAATATGATAAAATAATTTTTGCTCTTTTATTACTCAGTGGTTTGGTTTCTTTCCAATAGGATTTTGTTTGTTTTTCACAAAAATGGTCGTTTGAGCTGTAAGGCAAAAGTGCAACCTCCTAGGCTGAATGGTGCAAAGACTGGTGTTTTTTCCACGAGGAGCCCTCATCGCCCCAATGCCATAGGACTGACCCTGGCCAAACTGGAAAAGGTAGAAGGTAACTATTTCATGTCTACTTTTAACTTGTTTTTCCTTACCCAAAAGAAGTCTTATAAAATCAGCGTAGCGTTCACCACTAGCAGTGATTCAGGCTAGCGCTAAGGGTGCTAACCCCTGAGAACCACCAGGCAATGAAGAAAATAAAATGATTAAAAAGAATGCTAGCATTATGTGCTCTCATAGGATGCCCATAATTTGTTTATGTTATGTCATTGCACATATCAAGAGCCATTATTTTATTTAGAAATAACTTGTAAGACTTTATATCCATTAAATTAGTAGATACAGAATGGTTAAAAATTAGTAAGAGTTCAAAAATTAACACTCAGTAACAAGTTGACAATTAACAAGCCGACGCCACCCAGTGCTCAAGGGGCCTGCTCACTGTCTAGGGACAGAGCCTCTTTAAGCAGATCATTGCTGTGCCATGCAAAAAGTACTCTAGTAGAGATTGTGCATAGGTTCCTCTGTAGGAGCCCGTTGGAAAGCATGCTTAGGTCTGGAGGAGCCAGAAAGGCTTTGTAGAAAAGGTGTTATTTGAGGGCCTTGAAGAGCAGGTGGAATTTGACAGGGAAGAAGAGGATGGGCCTCCAGGCAGAAAGAAAAGCAGGCATTGGTGCTGGGTGTAAAGAGCCTGGTGCATATAAGAGCATTGTGAATAAATTTGGTGACCCGGAAGCAGACAGTGTCAGAAAGAATTTTTAGGTACAGTTATATTCATTCATTGTTTGCACTGTTCATCATTGTTAATGAATACTGTTAAGAGGATTTTTTAATTTTTCACATTTTAGGTGGAGCTATCTACCTTTCTGGAATTGACATGGTACATGGCACACCTGTGCTAGACATAAAGCCCTACATAGCTGACTATGACTCGCCACAGAATTTGATCGAGCCTTTAGGAGACGTTAATTTACAAGATAATAAACATAAACCAAAAACTTCTTTTGAGTTTCGGTCTAGTGGCGTGACTGATAACTGTGACCAACAGCAGCTCTCAGGGTGTGTTGAACCACATCCCTGCACGAGCACCAAGGAGAAACCCACATGTCCTGAAGACAGAACCTCAGAAGAGATACATGTGGAACATGATGACACTGCAAAAATCCGACACTCGCTTAAGCATGGCGAGGAGATAGCAGCAGGTTATGGTTCAGAATCAAGAAGTGACCAGAGTTTGAGTGTGGCAGAAAAGCAGGTTGGCTCCTGTCACCAGGAGAAGAGCTTTTCTGAGGAAGGTACAGATAAGAGGTCAAGGAGAGGGCAAGAAGCAGCGATCCTACGAGGAAACAGTGTGCAGACAGAGCCTGGGGCCCTTCGCTACCCTTCCGGGGCTGCTGATGAAGCCCGCCACAGTGTGGTTCCCGCCTGGGTGAGAGATGCGCCTGTGACCACGTTAGAAGTTCGGTTCACTCCTCACGCCGAGATGGACCTCAGGCACCTCAGCTCTGGTGAGCCAGGTGCCTTCACTTTTTATTTTTGAATGAAGGATGAGCTTTTAGTATGAGGTGGAACCAAGCTTAGTCCGTCTGAGGGCAGTTCTATGGAGTGTTTGTCAGTATGACTGCTGAAAGGAAACAGCCTGATGATACTTGGGCAACACCATCATCCGATGTGTTTCATTCAACAGCTGTTCATTCAGCACAGCTTGTTCAGGAGCTCAGGTAGAGTGTTTGCCGAGAATGGCTGCAGCCTCATGAGGCGGCCCATTATTTGGGGCTCATCTGCCTATTAACAGTGGTTCCTGGAGTTTTCAAACAAGTAGAATTCAGAAGCCAAATCATGCTTGTTCTATACTCTTTACTACCTAACTGGAGAAATGTCCTGTTTTATCCTAATGCTCAGGTGGCAGATACGTCAACTCTCTAGTGCAGAGGAGTCCAGGAGCCCAAGAGTAAGAGGAAAAGCGTCTCTGAGCACAGAATTGCCCTCACACATCCCAGGACGAGAGACATGCACTTCATTGCAGAAGAGAGGCCACAAGGCCCTTAGTTGGAGCCTGTTTATTATTTAACACGTGGTTCCTAACAAACGTTACCTGGTTTCCCCAGTCCACAGTAGATGTCAGGCAGCAATCTTGAATGAAGGAAGGGGTTGTTAAGAGGTGGGTACAGTGATACACCAGTAAGAAGTAGCCATTTGGCAAGGAGATGTCAAATTTCAAAAAGGTAGAAAGCTATCCTTTTGATTACAACTCGGGAAGGGGTCAGTATAGCCATGTAAAGAAAGAAATTCATTTATTCGTTCTACAGTTGTTCACTCAGCTTCTGCTGGGTACCAGGCACTGTTTTAGGCCCTTAAGATACATTAGTGAACAAAACAGACCACAAAACCCCTGCCCACATGGAACTCGCATTCTAATGGAGCAGAGAGAGGCAAATTAAAAGCTTAATAATTAAGTAAATTGTGTATAATGTTAGAGGGTGATGGGGACTGTGGAAACTTCTAAAAAGAATCAAGCAGGGTAAGGGGTGTTGGGAGGTGGGTTGCGATTTTGAATAGGGTGACCAGAGTAGGCCTCATTGAGAAGATGCACCTGAGCAAAGGCCAGAGGGGTGAAGGAGTGAGCCATGCACATGCCCAGGGAAAGGACATGCCAGCTGGAGAGACAGCCGGTGCAGCCCCAAGGTGGGAGCGCGCATGGCACATTTGAGGCCATGTGGCTGGAGCAGACTAAGGAAGGGCAGAGTGGCCGTGGGGAAGGGGAGATGTGATTACGTGGGATTTTATAGGCCATTGTGAGTGAGGACTTGTGTTTTTACCTTGAGAGGAGTGGAAAGCACAAAAACTTGACGTCAGTATCCCCAGAGAGCAGGGGCCACCCCAGGGGTCAGATCACTGCCCAGAGTGGGCCACAGGTGATTTCTGGTAATGATAGAATAGATTTCCAAACTCGGTACGTTTCAAGTGATGTTCAAGGAACCAGCCAAATTCCACACTGAAATTCATGGTAATGAAATTTTTGGCCTGCATGATTTTGAAAGTTAGCTTATATCCTTCTCGTTGCAGATGTCGGTCAAACTGCGTTTAAATATTTTCAATCAGCAGAAGAAGCAAAGCATGCCATCGAGGCGGTGCTGTCAGCCGATCCTCGGTCTGTGTATCGACGGAAGCTCTGCCAGGACCGTCTTTTCTATTTTACTGTAGACATAGCGCACGTCACTTGCTGGTTTGGTGATGGCTTTGCAGAAGTTCTAAGGATCCAGCATGCTTCTGAGCCTGTTCAGATGACTGACCCTGCGGAGTCCTTGGTGTCTCTGGGATCTTAAGGCGTCTCCATTACATCTTTAAATTGACCTTTGGATGTGATATTAGGATTTTCTGTACAAGCTAATAATGTGTCGTCTTTGCAGAAAGAAGCAACAGTTTGTAGTGTCATGCTTTGATCAGTTTGGGCTGAGCAGACTATTTGAAAAACATGTTTTAATAAACTTAACAGAAAATTTAGAGCAACTGCCTTTTGCTTTTTGGCCTGTTAATATAAAGAATTCAATGATGATGCTGTTTCATTGAGTTTTGAAAGAAGCTGATTGTTCTTGGGACTTGATAAGATTAGGCAGAGACCATTATAGCAGGGAATGTCAAGCTCAGGGGATCTGTTCAACAATTCACATTGGTTTTCATGACTGGAAAAGCCTGATCTCTCTGTTTTATTCTGAGTTGCGATGGTTTTAGAAATTAACAAATGAGAAAAACGGTTTTAGCCATCTTTATAAATACATTAAACCCCTGTGTTTCAGAGACTTTGTGACATATACATATTTTATATGTATGTTATATATAATCTATATATTAAATACACACACACACACACACACACACACACATTTAATCCTGACTCAGAAAAAGAGACTCTGAATTTCTTTGGATGTCTTTGTATCAGAAGAGGATCCTCAAGAAAATAATTAGCGGTTCATGTGTTTCATTTGTTCATTCTGTGGCTATTGAGAACCTGCTGTGGGTTAGGTTTTGGTGATTAAATGAGATGAACAAGATGCAGTTCTTGTTGCAAATCATGGTTAGGAGAGGAAATAAGACATAAGGAAATCATTGTAATACAGTTTAATAAATCAGCAATTAAGTCTGTACAGGATTCCTGTGTGTACACAGTAGGAAGCAATTGTAAGAATGTATTGCCTATAGGTAATGTGAGTGATGTGATCCCAGATAACTGAAGATTTATGATCAGTGTAACCAAATTAGACATCTGTCGATACGACATAGGCATTCCTAATCACAATTAATAGCTGATTGATCATGGTTTTGAAATGAACCCTTCTGCCTGTAGATACTTGTGGAGTCATTTGTGGCTGATGACACTGCACCCTGGAAAAAAATGAGCTTGTAGTTGTTGACTTTGATGTTACTTATAACTTCTTGGAGAAATTACCTTAAATTTGATTTTTAAAAAAATCTTTATTTTGAAATAGAGATTCACTGGATGTTGTAGAATAGTAGCAGCCCATGTACCCTTCATCTAGCTCCCCGCAATGGTAATATCTTACATAACTATAGTACAATGTAGAACCAGGAAACTGACATTGGTACAATCTATAGTTTGATGTTAATGTTTTTTCTCTTAAAAAAATTATTTTGAAACTGAATCGGCACAAAATGTTGATGCTTATATGGAAAAAAGTAACTCTCGGGACAATACCACCCATCCTTCTAGCAAGAAGACTGTTTGCTTGTTTGGGGTTTTCTTCTACATCTGTGAGACTTCAGAGCAAAAAAGGATCCTGCTCGGTTGTCTGCCAATTCATGAGTCTTTCCTTCAGTATTCCCAGTGTTTGACCTTCCAAGCCTTGCTTAAACACCCTCCGTGATGAGGTCTTCACCCTTGCCCTATGCAAATCATTCTATATGGACAGTGCTGATTATGAAAATGTCCTGTATGTGAGATAAAAGCTCCATCCACTAGTGGGACCACACAGGGTAAGGCTCCTTGCTGCCTGACATTAGCCTGTCAGACACTGTTCCAGCTCCCACTCCTTGGCCTTCTCTAATTGAGCATCCACATTTTCTTAAACCATTGCTTCTATAGGAAGAACATGCTCTCAAGCTCCTCCGCCCCAGTGAGTGCCCAGCATGATCTTTTGTGTCTGTGGTCGTGTACTTCAAGTGTCCTGTTGTGAGGAAGTTGGAATCTTGAGTTCATGAACTCCCATCTCTTAGAAAGATAAGAAGTTTCAAGCACGTCTTATATTTCTTCTCTTCTTGCGAACTTTTTCAAAAGAAGAACGGAATATATAAATGACACCCACCTTGATTTTTAGCCTTTGCTTTTGGTGCCTGCAGGGGGAGCCCTTGATATCTGATTTTCACTAGCTTGGAGGAAACCTCCAAGAGTTAAGCTGTTCAGGTAATTTTGCCTTTAGGCCCACCTGCCCCAGCTTTCAGGAATAGTAACTTTTACCAGAAATGCTGATGCCTGTCAATCACATAGGAAGAGATTAGAAGGATGATTCCCATTTATTAATCTTAAATTGTACCTGGCTTAAGTGGTCAGATCAGGTTATATTGCCGCATGTGGAGGCTGTGCAGAACCAGGTAGACTCCTTAGCCAAATCCATCAGCATGTGCGTATAAGGCATTCACTGTGTTTAGGTGTTCACGATTTTTTTCTCTTGGAGAGAAGAAATGAAGTTGAGGACATAAGAGAATCAACCTTTTGTGGATAGTTTTCTATTTATGACACAGTCCCAAAGAAGGCAGATTAGGACTCAATGAAAATTTGTATGTTACTAAAGTTTCATATGTGCTTGGCACTGGGTTGTATGTTTTTCATGCACTGATCAGAGGTTGAGTAACATACTCAGTTCACACAGCTGGTCAGCCTCGTAGCCAGGATTTCAACCCACCCAATCTGACCCCGGAGTCTGCTCTCTTCCCAGCTTGGCTCTACTGCCTCGCCAGTGTGGATGTGGATGCTTAGCCAACCATGCTGGTTTAATTGAGGGACAGCAGTTCCATATACGTAAGCACAGGACACTTTAATTAGCACAGTGATGTTCATGGAAATCCAACCACTAAATGAAAATCATAATGAGATGGGGCAGAAACGACCATTCCCACCAGATCTGCATGGAACCTTCTGGGAAGCAGGGTGGGAAACATGGAGAGGACTGGGTTTAGGCTCAGAAACTTGAAGCACTGGCTTCTGCTCTGCCGTGTGCTAGCTGTGTCACCTTGGGCAAGTCACTGCTCCCAGCTCCGAATCCTTGACCTTAGGGAGTTATTACAAGGATAATGCTTGCGGAAGTATTCTGTCAACTCTAAAATGACCTGTAAACTTAATATTTGTATTGTGCCTGTCATCATTGATGCCCTTTCTTTGCCACTCTGCTCTGGCCTACTTGGCTGGACAAACAGTAAAAAAAACAGTTGCTTGTGAGTTGTTTCCATTCATGGCGACACCATGTGACAGATACTGTGGCCCGCAAAGCCGAAATATTTACTTTTGGGTCCTTTTTGGAAGAAGTTCGCCGACCCCTGATTTAGAACATTATTTCTCTGGAAAAGTGTTTTGAATTCCAGAAAGCCGACTTACAAATTAAAATTTGGGATACCACATGCCTCTAAGTCAGGAACTTTCTGTATTTTGAAATGATTTAGTCATAAAGCCGTGTGAGAAAGCTTATAAACAGGTCACGAACAGTATGCATTATGATATCCTATTCCTATGTGTAGTACAAGATTATACAAATCCATGTTTACACATATGTAGACAATTTCTAGAAGGATTAAACAAAAAAAATGCTAACAATGGTTACTTCTGGGGAGGATCTCTGGGGGCTCATGAGGAAGAGGGCTTTTCACTTCATTTGCCTTAGTATGTTGTGACTTTTTTTCTAATCACTACTGCACATTATATGGGAACGTGAGGAGAATAAAATGTCAAGTACTCAAACTGGAATGTACCTGGTATTTTAGTGTAACTTAACAAAGAAGATCTATTTATATATCTAAATAGATATCTATATATCCTCACCCCCCTTAAAAAATATCTGGTAAATATGGTTAGAGACACATGTACTTTCTCCTGGAACATCACATGTGGATATATTTATATACTTAAATAGATGTCTATATATCCTCCCCGCTACCCCACCTAGAAATTCGAAATATCTGATAAATATGGTTAGAAACACATTTACTTTCTCCTGGAACATCACCTGTGGATCACAACACCGAAAACCACCAGGCTGGTCACACTTCAGCTGTGGAGCTGAGACGGCTTGCAGTGGATAAACTGGCTGAGCCTGGGCAGCTTTGTCCCCAGGGGTTCACTGACGTTTTCTGTCCTTCCAGAGATGGGGTTTTGGATAAGGCATTGTGCCTCCAGGTAGGAGTCAGGTGCCCATCCGGATGGTGTGTTGGCAGAGGGCTGAGCTTCCAGAGAGCTCCTTAGCCCAGTACTCGCCAAACCTGTGCAGTTTTGCAGTCTGTCCAATCTGGACTGAGGGATGGGTCTCTGCTTGCAGGATCCACTCACTCGTCAGCTCCACCCACTGGCTCTGTGTCTACTTGCATTTAGGGAACTCACAGGTGATGTGACTGGTGGAAATTGCTCTCCCTGCATCCCCAGGACTGGCCCTTGTCCACTGCCAAAATGGGAACTCTGAGTTCTGTTATTTGGGTCAGCAGGAAAGATGAGGAGCTGGAGACAGACTGTGCCCACTGAGTAAGGGGGCTGTGCTGAGGTGGGAGGGGGGCAGGAAGAAGACCAGGCTGGCATGTTGGCAGGTGGGCAGAGCAGAGCCTGTGTGGGGTGGAGTAAGGCTGGTAACAGACAGGGAGCTCGGGCTCTGCTTGGCTTGGGGGAGGAGTCAAGGCCTGAGAGAACTGGCAGAGCCAAGGCAGGGCCTGAGTCCTGGAGGGGCTATGCAGGTTATCTAGGAGGCCTCAGGTACAGGAAACAAGGCAGAACCAGTTGCCATCGAGTCGATTCTGACCCACGGCAACCACATGTGTATGGAGTAGAGCTGTGATCTGTGGGGTTTTCTTTCTTTTTAAATTGTGATGAAAGAATACATAACAAAACATACGCCATCTCAACAATTTCTACATGTACAATTCAGTGATACTGATTACATTCTTCAGGTTGTACAACCATTCTTACTATCCTTTTCCAAATCATTCCACCCCCATTAACATAAACTCAGTGCCACCTAAGCAAAAAAATCCCCCTTTCCTCTTCTCCATAGGGTTTTCAATGGCTGATTTTTTGGAATTAGATCGCCAGGTCTTTGTTCCGAGGCACCTCTGGGTGGACTTGAACTTCCCACGTTTTGGTTAATGGCTGAGCGTGTTAGTTGTTTGCACCAGCAGGGACTCCACACAAGACAGGGACCCCCTCATATTGGAACTGGAGATTTTTCTTTCTTAATTCTTTGCCTAATTTTCTATCTTTGCCAAGCCGTAAAGTCACATACAAAGATACTTCAATATAGTAGGAAAACACGAGTAAGGAGTACTTGAGAATGACAAGGCAAGGAGAAAATGACAAGGAGAAAATAAGTGATATAAAATGGGTTGCTTTATGAAGCTGTGCACAAAATGCCCACTGAGTCATAAGGTGGGAAGAGCTTGGCTACCAGAGCTTGCCCTCTCTTTCTGATGGAAACCCTTCCACCACCATGTGAGCAAGCCTGATTAGCCTGCTGGATGATGAGAGGTACATGGCTGAGTCCCAGTCGGTACTGAACTGGTCTGCAGACATGTAAGTGAGGCCATGGTAGATTATCCAGCTCTAGTGGAGTTGGCCTAGACCAGAAAAACTATCCAGACAACACAGAGGACCATGAGAAAAAAAAAAAAGTTTATTATTTTAAACACTAAATTCTGGGATGTTTTGTTATAAAGCAAAAGCTAGCTGATACATCTGGTTACCACACTCTTGAGAGGAGTATTGGAAAAGTGGAGCTTATCTAACAGTAGAGGTTAACATGAAAAATTCCTTAAATGATGAGGGAGTCTTTAGAACAGTCTGGGGTTTTGTGATGAAAGAGTAATAATAAATAATAGCTAACAAGCACTTTGGCCCAGGTATGGAGCTAAGAGTTTAACACAGACTATCTAATTTAATCCTCAAAGCAAATTTATAAGAAAATACACAGGTATTATTTCTACTTTACAGATGAGCAAACTGAGGCCCAAGGACATTAAGTTACTTGTACAAGATCACACAACTGGGAACGGGGAAGACTTGGGATATAAATCCTGAGTCTGTCAATCTGCAGCACCATCACTCTTAACCACTAACTCCAAGGTTTCTAGCCTAAGAGAATCTATAGAAGATAGTCCCATGAATACAAACGGAAGAGACAAAAAGGGGCACAAAAACTGAGCTCATCACCTCTTTCTCTCAAATCACATCTCTGACTTCTGGATGAACATAGAGTGAACTCATGCATTTGTTTCTGTTGCCTGCTGAAACCCCAATAAGTGGCAGCAAAGAAGAGTAAGTTAAAATAAGCAGAAGAGAGGAAATAATAAAGACCAAAGTGGAAATCAATGAAATAGAAAACAAAAAACAACAGAGAAAATCGGTAAAACCAAACTGGATAAACTCTTATCCTCACTGAACCGGAAAAGACAGAAGACACAAATTACCAATACAAATCACCAGAACGAGATAAGTGACAGCACTAGAGATTTTACAGATACTAAAAGGAATATTATCAACAACTTTATGCCAATAAATTCAACAACTTAGACGAAATAAACAAATTCTGTGAAAGACACATATTGCCAAAACTCACTCAGGGTTTTGTGTCTTTTACAGATTTGTTAAGTAAAGGAAATCTATAACCTCAATAGCTCTATACTTAATTAAAAAAAAATGAAATTATAGTTAAAAGCCTTCCCACAAAGAAAACTTCAGCCCCAGATGACTTCACTGGTGAATTCTATCAAATATTTAAGGAAAAAAATAATACCAATTTTATGCAAACTCTTCCAAAATATTGAAGGGAAGGGAATACTTCCCAAATCATTCTATAAGCCCAGCATTACCCTGATACCAAAACCAGACAAAAACATTACAAGAAAAGAAAACTACAGACTAATATCCATCATGAACATAAATGCAAAAATTCTAAATAAAATTTTAACAAATTGAATCCAAGTGTATATTAAAGGGATAATGTATTATGACCAAGTGGGATTTATTCAAGAAATGCAGTGTTAGTATAACATTCAAAAATCAATCAACATGATGAACATATTTAATGTCATTAAACTGCACATATGAAGATTGCTGAAATGGGAAATGTTTTGTTACCTATATACTACCAGAATAAAAAAAAATAAAAAATAAATCACTATAATTCACTGTATTTACAAACTAAAAAAAAAAAAAAAAAAATTCATGTGATTATTTCAACAGACAGAGAAAAAGCATTTGACAAAATCCAATATCTGTTCCTGATAAAAACTCTTAGAAAA